TCCTGTGGTTGATGTTAGGGTTAAATGAGGTGATTCTCTGAATTCTTGGTGGACATAAATATTAGATTTTCCTTTTTTTCTTCTTCAAAGGAAATATATTTTTATCCCCAAGACTAACTTTGTCCTCATATTGTTTTTATAAGACTGACTTACTCAGAGGCAACATAGATTGCATAATACTGAATTTTAAAGACAAGTTTCAATGAAATAAAGCATTATATGTTAACTATATATTGTAATTATCCAAGTAACTTTGAAGAGTACTAAATATTTTCTTCCCTGAATTTGTACTATTAAAGAAAATACATTATTACAGTTCTAATTATTTATATTTGTGGAAACTGTCCATATTTAAAAGACTTAACTTTTAATTGTAATTTAAAAACACTAATGTAGGGTGGTGCCTGTAGCTCGGTGGGTAGGGCCTCATCTATATACACTGAGGCTGGCAGGTTCAAACCCAGCCAGGGCCAGCTAAAATCAACAGTGACAACTGCAACCAAAAAGTAGCCAGGCGTTGTGGCGTACACATGTAGTCCCAGCTACTGGGGAGGCTGAGGCAAGAGAATAGCTTAAGCCCAAGAGTTTGAGGTTGCTATGAGCTATGATGTCATAGCACTCTACCAAGGGTGACATGGTGAGAGACACTGTCTCAAAACAAACAAATGAACAAAAACACTAATGTAAAGGCAGAATTTGTGTATTTCTGTGGGGGTTCTTTTTGTTTGTTTTTGAGACAGTCTGACTCTATCATCCTGGGTAGCGTGCAGTGTCACCATTATAGTTTCTAGCAACTTTTGACTCCTGGGCTCAGCCATCCTGTTGCTTCAGCCTCCTAAGTATCTGGGACTACAGGCATGAACATGCCTGGCTAATTTTTTCTGTTTTAGGTAGAGATGGGTTGTTGCTCTTGCTCAGACTCCTCCTACACGCAGAACTCAAGTGATGCTCCTCCTGCCTCAGCCTCCCAGAGTGCTAGGATTTCAGGTGTACAGGTGTGAGCCACTGCACCAGCTAATTTCTGTGATTTAATGCTTCAATTTCTCAGTCGTGTGTGGGGGAAGCATTTCTTTATGCCATCATTTTGGGCCTTCCCTTTCAGGGGTGCATTCCAAGAGAAATTGTTTAAAAGAATGCTAGTGGGATACCCATGAACATGCAGTAATTTTTCCAGGATAGTAATTTGGGTAGCTCTAGATTCTGAAAAAAAATGTGACCCAGAAATAAGGAAAGAAACTGGGGGTTTTCCCTCTGTGTGTGTCTTCCTGTCCTGTAACATATCCTGAAGCTCAGTAACTGCCTTTCAAGCTAAAAATATTATTCTAAATAAATTTTCTTTTACCTCAGAAGCAATGAATGACTTATGCATTAATCATAATTGATCAGTTAATTGGATACTTTTATCATGTATCCAAAAAAAGTTTTATGATTTCCTCATGTTTTTCCACAAAATAAAAGAGAAAAGCAAGTTCTATTATATGGGTCTAGCCTAAACCCAAGAATAATTTTAGATTTTCCTCCATCTGTCGAGCTATTTGAACACATAAATTCCCAAGTGTATTTGATGTTAAATGTGTTAAATCTTATATAATTTGCATTTAGGAACTTTTGCTGTTATAAAAGTTTGTGGCTATTGGACCAAAGGAATTTATATTTCAAGTATGTTACTTTTGCACTTATCATTAGACAAGTATGACAAATGAATTCATTATTTACACATGAAGGTAGAAATTCCCTAGACAAACTGACAAGAGGAAGTAAAATAATTAAGATGAAATTATCTTTTTTCTCATTGGCAAAACCATAAAGTTGGGGTTTTGGCTTATCACTGGCAAGCCAGAGCAGACACAATTTAAAACTCAGAAGCTCTGCTTTCCTGATATCCTATTCAAAGGGCAAAATGGTAAAGCATCTTTGCTTGTTTTACCATATTGCCCTTCAAATAGGACATCTGGCCCTTTAAATAGTGTGTGATTGAGACATATTGTCTGAAATACAGTGGATCTTTGCTAAAACAACCTAAACAGGGAACTCATGGATCTTTGCTAAAATGACTTCAAGCATGCCTTCGATCACTACATATATATAATAAAATAAAATAAGTCATTTTAGCAAAGATCCATGAGTTCCCTGTTTAGGTTATTATTTTAATGCATATTTCAATATTAATACACATATTTTCCTTTTAGGTTCTGAACCTCTTTCTGGCCTTATTATTGAGTTCATTTAGCTCAGACAACCTTGCTGCTACTGATGACGATAATGAAATGAACAATCTCCAGATTGCAGTAGGAAGAATGCAAAAGGGAATCGATTATGTGAAAAATAAGATGCGGGAGTGTTTCCAAAGAGCCTTCTTCAGAAAGCCAAAAGTTATAGAGATCCATGAAGGCAACAAAATAGACAGCTGCATGTCCAACAATACCGGAATTGAAATAAGCAAAGAACTTAACTATCTTAAAGATGGGAATGGAACCACCAGTGGTGTAGGTACTGGAAGCAGTGTTGAAAAATATGTAATTGATGAAAATGATTATATGTCATTCATAAACAACCCCAGCCTCACTGTAACAGTGCCAATTGCTGTTGGGGAGTCCGACTTTGAAAACTTAAATACTGAAGAGTTCAGCAGTGAGTCAGAGCTAGAAGAAAGCAAAGAGGTAAGGATGCTTTTAAAGTTTCTTGTTGTATTTCCTGTAGTAACTATACACTATGGTCATTTGCTATTTTTATGTGTTTATAGGCATTAGTAAAAAGTAACATTGTAAGTCATACATAGTTATCTTGGGAAATCATGAGATACTCTTTAGCTATCTGAATCTCTTTACAGAAATTCCAACTTTCTACAGAAAAATATTATTCTGAACAATTAATGCATTCGTTTTCTTGCTAGTTTAAAAACATAGGGTTAAAAAATGTGGCCTTCAAAAAAATCATATTTAATAGATTCTACTAAACTACTACTGAACTATATTATGTTCTTTTGAAAAATCAATGAACTGTGTTTTATTCATCCCTCTGAAAATGTCACCTCCTTATAGTCCACGATATGTTAGGTTTTGCTATGATCTTCTTAGTGTTTTAATGTGACAGTTGCGTATAGTTTTTGTTAACCTTTGAAAGTCTTGTTCACTATGATAGAGTGTTTCATTTAGGAAAGTGTTTTACATATTAGGAAAGTACAAGTCGTACTGATTACATTTTGCCCAGTCAAGGATGAGCAAGTCCACAAAGTCTTCCAGATTAACTTGAAAATACTAAAGTACTTGGAAAAGCTCCACTTGAGGCCTATAATTAAACTGTAGATGGAAAACCTGCTCTTACTGTCATTACTAGTTGTTTAAATTACAAAAAGAAGGAAAGAAAGAAGGAAGGAAGGAGAAGGAGCTGTTCCTCCTATATGATTAGAATTCATAAGGCTCCATAATGGTAGCTTAATGGCATTAATTTTTCAATTCTGTGCTGTGGAGAACAAGAATGAAATGTTTTACTATTATTTGTGTATGGGATTTTAACATGCTAGTGGGAAGAAAGTCTAGCACGGATGGAATTATAAAAGCTATGATTTAGCCTGAAGGTATACTGTTGATACCATGGGAATCAGACCAGTAATGGCTGATTTTGTGAGCATATCTTGGAACTTTCTTAGTTTAATATGTGTACCAACAACATTTGATCCGAAATCCTTATAATAAGTAGCTGACAATGTTATCACATATAGCTTCCTGATTATTAAGGCACTTCGGATTTGCTGAAATATAATAGTAAAATGGAAAATATCTTGAAAAAGACAAAAAATACACATGAAATGAGGTAGTCAGATTCTTACTCTGAATTCCATTCAAAGTGTGCTGCATGAGTTCAATGGTAATTTATGTTGTTCATTCTGTAAACTTAGAATCACGTCCGATTTTACTTTTTATTACCTGACATAGACTTATTTAAGAAGAAACACCAATTAATTAACAAGCATTTATTGAACACTTTTTGTGAAGCCACTCTACTGGGGACTAGGGGTAAGAAGGAGTTAAAGCAGAGCTCTATTACATAATTTCCCTTCAGGGAAATCTCAGCATCTTTGAGTAGGGTAACACTAACTCATGAAATCATTAGGATGAAATGAAATGATGAAATCATACCACCTGTAGAGTGGTATATTTTACCTGTTGAGAAGGGCAAAAGCAATTGCTAAATGGGAAAGATATTAAAACAGGCCTCAAAGTTTCGGTCATGCATCAATGAACAGAAAACAAGCAACCTACTAAAGGAAAGCCAGAACTGACAGTGAGCTTAGTAGTGAGCGGAGGTAGTGAAACTGATCACATGACCAAGTACTGGTGAAGATAATAGTGGCAAATATATTTGGAAGTGTAAGGTAGTCTCAGACTATAAAGCTTTAAATTAAGGCAAAGAGTTTGGATTTGGCTGTATGGTCAAAAGGACCTATTGTTGCTCTAAAACAGAGGAAGGCAATAGGAAAGTGATGATAAATGTTTTGTGAACATTTATTTGATATCAAAGAGTAAAATAGTTTAGAGTGAAAGATAAGAAAAAGTATCCTGAGGAATATGATAATAATACCCATTTGACAGCAATGAGGTGACAAAATTCTGGTCTATTGGAATAAGCAATGAAAACTGAGATTAACTGGGCATTTGATGAGGCTGTAAAGAATCCCGGAAATTGGAAAAATGGCAATGCCATTGTCTGAAAGTCTTTTTAAAAAGAGTTTTCAAGTTCATGTGGGAAGAGCAGTTCAAGTAGGATATCCTGAAATAGAAGTAGCATTGCTGGGAAACAGAACCGAGCTGAGAGGTCAGGATTTAAAAATGGATTTGATAACACAGATTTCATAATCATCTGATTCCCTGCATATGGAGGAGCTCACCAGAGAAGTAATTGTAAAGTGAAAATAAAGGAAGATGAAGCAATACGTAGCATGAATAGCTTGGGGTCAAGGTGAGGTAAAGCCAAAGAGGTGAAAAAAAAAGAAAGAAAACTTTAGCTGGATTAATTCTATAGGCTGTATCACATCGTGTCTATACAGAGTAAATATCTTAATTTTCTTCTGCCAAACAGATCATTGCCAGAATACTTCAAAAACTTCATCAGATCCACAAACATTTCAAATAACTGCTGAGAAGAATGCTACCTCATTATCATACTTTAAAATGGCTTAAACATTATAAATTTGACGTAATGAGATGTAATTTCTCCCTTATTATCAAATCTTGGAAGATATTTTGTTACCTGAACAAAATTTTCTTTGTGGGTGATTTTTATAACCATCCTGTCCTCTATCAAGCAAATTTTGAAGATATGGAATCAACTACAGAATATAATGAAATTCCTTAAAACGGGCAGCAGATTAATGGGGAGAATCATCAAATTAAATGTAAAATGATACATCTCGTAAATCTAGGATAAAATTTCAAATTGCTTTTCACAGTTATATTAAATTCAGCAATAAATTGTATGTGGATGATTTGGTCAAGTCAGTACCAACCCCCTACACACACAGTAGAGCAATTCTTATATATGCTCACACACGAGATAAAAGTCAGTTTTTTAAAATAAAAGCAAATATCAGTGTGCTCTAATACTATACAGCAGATTTAGATAAATTCTAGCAAAATGCAATTTTGATTGGACATTTCCAAAAACTGCCTGCATTGAACCCTGGTCACATTTCAGGTGCATACGCTATTCTTTTTAAATAACTATCACACACTGAAATACACACAATCAAGTGACATTTCGGTTTGTGTTTCTTCATCACAAGTAGTAAAAGAACACTGAGCTCTGCTTTGGAGAGTACAGAGTATCCTTCCTCTTTGCTGATAAAGTGAGCACTCACGGAAGTTAAACGCACCACAGTTGTATGTTTTTCACTGAAAAAATAAATTGCCTGAAATTTCTGTTTTAAAAGGAAGCAGAAAATTAATCATTAATTTGGGTGGCATTTCAAAACTGTAGCTACTCAATTCCTTCCATTTATTTTCTTAAGAAAGTATCACTGACTAATGCAGCTAAAGAGAAATGATACCTAAAAGGTTTTAGAGACAAAAATAAGAATTTCTATTATTTTCTATTTTATATAATATATAGTATGTGTGTATATTATATCTGAGTATTATAAATCAGTAACATAAGCAGATTAATGTGGAAGCAAATATAAACTTTTGCATGAAAAAATGGAAGAGAATTGAAGGCATGGATTTCAAAATAGTGATATTTTTATCTTGGCAAAACTTGGAATGATACTGATCTTTAAGACGTTCTAATGTAGAATTTTGTCTGCTTTTATAGTTTAAAAGTTCACATCATCATAATTTCCTGAATTTTTTTTATAACTGTAAGTTTTTACAATTGAGTTCTGAAAAGATGATTGGTCTGTCTTCCTAAGTGAAGGATAGAAAATAAATGCTTTTAACAATCATATTTGAACTTGAATTCCAAACACGATCGAGCAATATCATACTATGACCTTCACTGCTTACCATTCTTACTTCTCACAGGGATAAAATCAAGCTGGAGCCATCAAGAATGCAACTCTGGTGTTTTTTAACCAGCCAGAGGCTCGTGCCACCACTTTTACCCAGGTTACCCAAGCAAGTTGTCCATGTACAATCACTTTCTAAATGAATTTTGACTGGCCTGCATGCTACTCAGCTGTTCCTTCCCTGCCGTGGCAAGGACGTGCTAGGCTTGCCCAGCTGCTCTCTGCTAAATCGTGTGACACATCACAGCATGGTCAGGCGAGATGGGCAGTCCCAACATCACATTCAATTCTGCTAATAAGTTTTCTAGTTTAGACTTTCAGTCTTTTAAAATCAATAATTGCTTGCTCTGTAAGATTTATAATATCTATTTTAAAACATGATAGGAATGTTTAAGGTTCAATATAGTCAAGGACTTAGGAGAGCATGCACTTTTTTTATTTCTCTGCTTTTATTTCATTTTAAGACCACACCTTTTGTTCTTGATTCAGCCCTTATATGTAAATTATATTACCAAAATATGCCTTGCAGTGTTTTTTTGTTTTTTTTTTTCTGATAGTTCTACCATTTTCACTTTATTGTTTTCAGATCTGTGAATATAATTTCTAATCTATCCAATTCACATGCTCCATGTGGAAAGATCTGCTTTCATGTTGTGGGGGAAAGGCTTTATAAAAAGAGTAGGGTATTTGTGAGTTTGGGGGATGAAGGGCCATAGTCTGTATGCATTTGGGCACCACATATCTTGGATTTTCACGTAGCGTAGGAAACCTAAGTCAAGTGTCTGAGAAACAGTCGTTAGCACTATAAAGCGATTGAAAAAAAGCATCACGAGATGGAGTAGGAAATGCTCACTGCATCTTCATCATTAAGGAATTGGTCTAGTGTAGCCACTTTTGATTTGAATTTTCACGATCTACATTAATTTCTTCTTAAATATTCTACCCCAAACTGAGCAGGCAAAAATGAGACGTGGAAAGTTTACTATTTTTTGGTATTAATTGTTAATTGTAGCTTTATAAGGAGTAAAGGGCATCTGTCGATATTATTGTAGGTTTACGGATAGAGTGAGCCTTTAGTTTATGCCTCAGCTTTCTCCTGTTGATATCACTGCTTCCTCTAAGCTCAGGCCTAGTGCAGGTTCTGGGAGCCAAAGTGGA